CAGAAGTGATGTGATCAATCAGGGTTTTGAGCTCAGCTCCACAGCGAATGCAAAGCAAACAAGCACCCCACAAGCGAACCGACAAAAAAGAGATGACAAGCCCGGAAAAAACAAATCACGATCAGATCGATTGGAATCCACCAAAAAAAAAAAAAAAAAAAAAAAAAAAGTCAAAGGGGGGAGAGCCACAACCCGCAAGCGGTATCGCAAAAAACAAAAGCTGGCCGTGCCCGAGGGAGCGGGCGGACAAACCACCGCACGCAATGACAAAACGGAGAAGAGTGCTGCGGTATCAGAGAGGGGACTGGCGGCCGGAAGGGAGCGGGAGAAGCAAAAGGAACGATGGAAGAACATGTTGTGGGGGAGGGGAGGTTTTTTCCATCTTTCTACCGCAAGCTTGCGTGATCATGGCTCTGCCTCTTCCACCCTCAATCGGATACTGCCATGCTTGTGACCCCGCTTCCCTCGTGCAGTCTCATTGTGTTTCCCCGTCATCGTGTCTGGCGCGCAAGCGTGGAACAAAAACGCTGCTCGCCGTGTTTTCTCAAAGAACAGCTTCTCACCAAAAACGAAGAATGACCTAGAAAAGTAATAAAAAAGCCGGGTTTTTTGTTATTATTATTATTACCCGCCTGACTGTTCGATCGATCGACGCACATCGTAATGCTGCCGTTCCAAGATCAAGAGCCGAGCAGTGCAGAGCGTTCTATTTGAAGACCAGATGAGAACGCACAGCAGCAGCCACCACCAACAACAAAAGCAGATCTCACACGAAAAAGCAAAAGTAGAAAAAAAAAAAAAAAAAAAGCCTGTATTCTTGCCATCGCTCATTTTTTTGTTCACGCCTTCATACAAACTGGGCTTCAGTCTGCCGCAAGCCGCGGAAAGCAAGCCGAGTGCTGCTACTACAGACGATGCAAACGCCAAGCGGACAGAGCGACGGGTCTGGAGCGTTGCAGGCACGAGCATCCACAAGAGCGGTGACTCATCCAGCGCCGATTTTTTTCCTTTTTTTTTTTTTTTTTTTTTTTTTTTGCCTCTCTTTTCTATCGCTCCATTCAAACTCGCCTGATGCCATGCGATATCGCATGCAATCCTCTTGCGTTCTCTCTCTGCCCATTGCCCCCTCTCAATCTGTCTCGCCCAAATTGCCCCCCTCTGGCGGACTGACCTGGTGGGCGGGTGGAAGGATCTCTGCGGTCGATAATCACGTTCCGGTTTGCTCCAATCAAAACGATCGTCTCACAACCGAGCGCCAAACCCATCTTAGATCCTTTTCTTTACAATCACCATCCCTGCGTCACCCGCTGCACCTCATAGCTCCATTATGAATTCTTTCAATTCCCCAAAGTGCAAAGGCCCCATCTCCAGAGCGTGAGAGAGCGACCGTCGGTAATGAACTCCGCGGTCTGCTCGCGGTCAGAAACACACCCTGTCGTCAAGGGACGGTTGTGGCGCTAACCAAGCCCAACTCCATACTGTATGCAATCCACGATTCGACGGACGTAAAACGTCAAAAAAGGGGAAAAGAAAACCCATTAAAACAAATCAGAAAACCGGACTTCGGATTGGCTTTGCATTTGCATTGAATCGATTGTTCTCCATCTTCCTTTCTGTTACGACCTTACCCGGAACATAACCCGTATCACTACTAAAGTATGCTAGAATAGAATGCGGAAGTATCGTGTACTAAGAATATAGTGAAGAATGAGGGGAAGCCTAACTAGGCTGAGCCTAGTTCGTAACACTTTCCATCATCGGTCTGTCTGAGTGTCTGATCAGTGCGCACTTTGTTGCAAAAACAGCACCATGCTTTTTCACTCCTTCTTCTCTTTTTTTCTTCCCCCCCTCCAATATACTCTTTGCACAAAAATGCTGTCGCTGATTCGCGCTGCTGCTGCGACTGTGAGCGTTGCTGGCCGTCAAACGACGACGCGACTTGCCTTCGCCGCCGTCTCTGCCTCTTCTGCTGCGGCCGCCGTCCCGACGCGCGCCTACCATGCACGCAAGGGCTGCTACGGCTTCCGAGTGCCCCCTAAGGCGACCCCCGAGGAAGGCAAGTTCAGCAGTCCCCACCATCGTCCGTGACTGAGGCCACGCTTTTCGTTTTTTTTTTTTTTTTTTTTGATTATCACCTTATCACCTCATCGACGCGTCGGGATTTCTCTTTCGCGCGTCCGCCGCGGCTTGCATCGATCGCCATTCAACGCAGCCCACCTGCACATCCACAGGATGAGCTCTGCGCAATCGAATCGACGCGGTCGCCCCGAAAGCGAGTGGTCGCTCATTGATGCGAGCAATCTTAACTTCCTCTTTTTTTTTTTTTTTTTTTTTTTTTCCGAATTGATAATAATCCATGTGCTTTTTTTCGCTTCACGTCCCATCACGAACTCGCACTCCTGCGCACTTTGGCTTGTCGGGACGCTTGCGTGCGATTGCGTACCGTTGCCCTGTGCTCACATCTGATCCGGCCTGGTCTCTTTGGACATTGCGTCTTCCGACAGAGGACGCCGCGGTGGTTGAAAACCGAATTGACAATCCCAACCTGCTCCGATTGGTCTCTGCTTATCGCGCTCATGGCCACAAGGTTGCCACTGTCGACCCGCTTGGCGCCATGGCACAGTAAGCGGCTGCAGACGAAGCGCATTGCCTCCAATCACCAATCGCAATTCACGTCCGGGTTGGTTTGCTCACTCGCGTTGCACTGTGTTGCGTCTCTGCATGTGTGTGGTGTGCGCGTTTATCACTCTAGCTCTGCCCCCGAGCTCAACCCGTCCGTCTATGGCTTTGACGTTGCGTCAACCGAGTCCATGAAGCTGCTGGGCGTCGTTGATTTCCGCGACGAGAGCGCCAGCATTGCCGAGGTCGAGAAGCACTTGCGATCCATCTACTGCGGACACATTGCCTTTGAGTTTGAGCATCTTCCGGTGAGTGAGAAAGCTGCCACGCAGCCGCAAATCCTCGGCATAGTTGTTCGAACTGAAGCTAAAGCGACAGCCCATGTATCTCTCACTTTTGCACTTTCGCTTTTTGTGATTGCGTCGTCGAGGTAGGAGGCTGTCGAGCGCCGCTGGTTTGCCGAACAAATCGAAAAGCGTCGCTGGTCTGGATTGTCCGACGAGCGTCGCGTCGAGATTTCCAAGCTGCTGAGCAACTCGGAGGTGTTTGACAACTTTATGCAAAAGCGCTTTGTTCAGGTCAAGCGTTATGGTGGCGAGGGTGCCGAGGCCATGATGGCTGGCGTCGACGAAATTCTTCGTGCTGCCGCCGAGTGTAAGCAGTGAGATTTGCGAGGATGCCCACGCTTTTATGCTAGTAGTGATGATGCTCAAACGAGTTTTTTTCCCCCCTCCCGTTGTTGTTTCTTTTGTTCGCGCGCTTTCTGTCAGTCAACATTCGCGATGTCGTCCTGTGCATGCCGCACCGTGGTCGCTTGAATCTGCTGACCGACAGCCTGCAGCTCCCTCCCGCCGTCTTGTTCGCAAAGGTCAAGGGCATTCCCGAGTACCCCGCCGAGTTCAAGGAGGTCTGCTCTGGCGATGTTCTCTCGCACATTCACACCTCGGTGGATCTTCAACTCCCCGGCGCCAAGAACCCGCTGCACGTCAGCATGCTGCCCAACCCGTCGCACCTCGAGGCGGTCAACCCGGTCGCTCTCGGCAAGACCCGCGCTCGCCAGCTCTCCCTTCAGGACGGCGACTACAAGAACGATCCCGAGTGCAAGCTTGGCGACAAGGTCATGTGTCTGCAGCTGCACGGCGATGCCGCCTTCGCTGCCCAGGGCGTCGTGACCGAATCGCTTGGCATGGCCAACCTGCCCCACTACTCGGTTGGCGGCACCGTGCACATGATCGTCAACAACCAGCTCGGCTTCACCACGCCCTCCGATCGCGCCCGTTCGTCTCGCTACTGCTCGGACGTCGGCAAGATGATTGACTGCCCCGTCATTCATGTGAACGGCGACCACCCCGAGGAGGTTGTCCGTGCTGCACGCCTCGCCATGGAGTACCGCATGAAGTTCCGCAAGGACATTCTCATTGATCTCATCTGCTACCGCCGTATGGGCCACAACGAGCTCGACGACCCTTCGATGACTCAGCCCGTCATGTACAAGAACATTCGCACCCACAAGTCCGTGCCCAAGATGTACGAGGAGCAACTTATTGTACGTTCTTTTGAATGATTGGTTCTTTATCGATCAGCCCTTGATGGGGTGGGGGGTGGGGTGGTGTTCAATAGCTCATTTGATTGATTTTCTTTCTTGTTTCAATCTTGTTTTGCAGGCCGAGAATCTTCTGACTCGCGAGGCTGCAGACAATGTCCGCACTGAGCGATGGAACTTTTTGGATTCCGAGTCCACTCGTGTTGAGACCTTTGTGCCCGAGGTGTGTATGGCAATGCTCTTTGAGTGTGATTTTTTTACCGCTGATGATTTGTTGATTTGTTGATTGTTGGTACTCGATGCAGAACAACCATTTCCAAGGCAAGTGGAAAAAGATGGGTCCTGCCCCCGCCGCCATGAACACTTACAACACTGGCGTTGACCTGGCTGCCCTCAAGGAGATTGGCCTTCGTTCGGTCGCCTACCCTCCTACTCTTGTAATCACCCCACCCCGCAGCATTCCGATCGATGTGAAGAGAGCCACTTCTCACTTTTTGCTTTTTTCACTTCTACGGCTTGGTGCGCACAGAACATTCACCCCCGTTTGAAGAAGGCGCACGTTGAAGCTCGTATCAAGCGCATTGAGGCTGGCACTGGCATCGACTGGGCGACTGCTGAGGCTCTTGCTTTTGGCTCCCTCATGCTGCAAAGTAAGCACAGAAACGGCCGCGCTGTTTCTCCCCCCCCCGCCATTCGACAATTTTTCTCACTCCTGTGTCTTCTTCCAACACTATTAGAGTATAACGTCCGTATTTCTGGCCAGGATGTCGGTCGTGGCACCTTCAGCCAGCGCCATGCAATGCTCATCGACCAAAACGATGACTCCGCACACATCCCCTTGAACGATCTTGGCAAGCCACAAGCCTTCATCGAGGTCAGTTTGGAGCGACCCCAGTGCATCTCGCTGGCCTTTGACACCGAGCATTTAAATGTTTTTTTTTTTCGTTCTCATGTTTCTTTCGTTTCTTGTGTCTTGTTTCTTCTCCCACCCACAGCTTTGCAATAGCGATCTCTCCGAGTTTGGCGTTCTTGGCTTTGAATATGGTGTCAGCATTGACAGCCCCCAGACGCTGACTCTGTGGGAGGCTCAGTTCGGCGACTTTTTCAACGGCGCTCAAATCATTATCGACACGTTCATCAACTCTGGCGAAGGTAGGGTGCCACCCCCCCCCCGAAAGTCATTCCCAAATGTGAGCACTTGAGTCTCATTCTGATTGTCTCCCCTCGGTTGAATCCACCACAGTGCGATGATAGCAACAAACAGCCAAGTGGCTCAAGCAGTCGGGCCTCGTGATGCTCTTGCCGCACGGTTACGATGGTGCTGGTCCCGAGCACTCTTCCTGCCGCATGGAGCGCTTCCTTCAGCTGACCGACAGTGACATGTATGTTCGCGACACTGAGCGCGTCAACATGGGTGTTGTCAACCCGACCACCCCTGCCCAGTATTTCCATCTGCTCCGCCGTCAAATGGTCCGTCCCTACCGCAAGCCCCTGATTGTCGTCGGCCCCAAGACGCTTCTCCGTCTTCCTGTAAGAAACTCTCTCTCAGGCTGCCAAGTTGCGCCAGTGTTCATTTTTCTCACTTGGCTACTTTTTAGGCTGCTGTCTCCGACCTCAACGAGATGGCCTCCAACACCTCCTTCCAACCCGTTCTCGGCGAGTCGCACATTGAGCCAAGCGGGTACGTTTCGTCGTGAACAACCTCATATTATTTGGATGTACTCATTCTTGTGCTCAACGTCTTTTTTTTTTCTTGTTTTTTTTTTGCGATTTGCAGCGTCAAGCGTGTTATTGTCTGCTCGGGCAAGCTCTACTACGATCTTGCCAAGCAACGCGACGATTCCAAGCGCACCGACGTTGTTATTATCCGCCTTGAGGTCAGTTTCTGACCTGGTTGCACAGCGATGCAGAGAGTTTTCATTTGGAGTTTGCTCTAACTTGTCTTTGGTTCTCTTCTGGTGTACAGGAGCTTTGCCCCTTCCCTGCTGCCGCCATCGAGTCCGAGCTCGCCAAGTTCACCAACGCCAGCGGTAAGCGCGCCGACCGTTCATAAAAAAAAACCCTCATCATCCGGTCGCTCTCATACTCACCTGCACCATCATGTATTCTTGTCGACATGCAGAGTTTGTCTGGGTTCAAGAGGAACAGCAGAACATGGGCGCATGGGCGTTCGTTGCCCCTCGCTTCGAGGCGCAGGTCGGCCGCAAGCTCAAGTATATTGGCCGTGGCCCGCTTGCAGCGCCCGCTGTCGGTGTTTCCAAGATTCACAAGGCCGAAGTCGAAAAGCTGATGCAAGATGCTTTCACTGCTTAATCGTGTTTACCAAGTCCCCCCAACTCGACGTGTCGTTTTGATTATTAAACCGATTGAACCAATTTCAAGTGATGTTAAGTGCTTGCGTTTGATTCGTGACAAAACAAACCAAAACAACCACCTTGCTAGTTTGGTGCCAATACGAGCTACAATTTGGTGTCGGGCTGAGCGATGAGTTTCAGCCCATAGTCGGCGAGATCTTTGTCTGAAATGGCCGAGGGCGCTTCGCACGTCAAATCCCTGCCAGAGAATGCCTTGGGGAAGGCAATAACTTCGCGCAAGCTGCGTGCACTGAGCAAAATGGCCATCATGCGGTCAAAGCCTATCGAGCAAAAACAACGCAAAGCAAAACAAACAAACAAACAAACAACAACAAAAGCCCAAAAAGAAAACTCAGTGTCAGCATTCAACAAGACTGGAAAAGTATAAACCAGCAACAAAAAAAAGTCAAAATAAAACTGACCAAGGGCAATTCCACCATGCGGAGGGGCTCCCGTGCGCAAAGCTTTCAGCAAATGGGAAAACTTGGTGATGTCTGCCCCCAGCACCTCGCGAATCAAACGCTCTTGCATGTCGCTGTCGTGAATGCGGATTGAACCGCCTCCGAGCTCCCAACCATTGACGACAATATCGTAGTGAAGTCCACGAACCTAAAGCGCGAAATGGGCAGCGGGATGAGTCTCTGCAAATCTCAAAGGAAGAAAAAAAACAAAATCACACAAAGATAAGTCCACGAACATGACCACATACCTTGCGGGGGTCGGTGAAAACGAGATGAGCATCGTTCGGATGAGGTGCAGTGAACGGATGATGCGTCGCCTCAAGCGCCATCGTCCCGTCTGCAGCCTGCGCAGTGTCTGATTCTGTGAAAAGTGGAAAGTCCTCAACCCAGAGAAAGTGGAATTCGTTGGGATTGCGCAGAGGGTGGCCTATTTATGTGACAATCATCTTTCTAGTGAGACTAATAGTTCGATAACGATCAAAGCGGCAACCTACAAGCGACTCGTTACCAAGGCGCTCGAGCTCTGCAGCGACCGCAAGTCGCAGTTTTCCAAGTCGTTGCAACTGTTGCCAAACGAGCGATTCAGCCAAGGAATTCCCCACGACAACGCACCATGACACCCAATGCATGCAAAGCTTACAACAGATTCGGCATGGTCTCCAGTCGCGATACACACAAAGTCCGCGCCGACAAGGTCCAGCTGTGCCAGTGTCGCGTCTTCGAGAGCAGCGGGGAGTCCATTGAAGGGCTTGGTGACAGCCTTGCAGTTACCTTCTTTGACAGCGTAGAACG